CTCTGCCCACAATGTAGTTGAGTTTGTGAGGTTTGTTTAGTTTTCCTGACTGTACTTTGAGCTCCAACTTGTGGAGGGTACTAACAGGTTTTCCAGCTCTACAGACATCCCATGATCTATTTCCAGATAGGGAAGAGATTCATGAGCACGCTGAGTATTGAGTGACTCAAGTTTCTTCATCACTATTGATTATGGAGAAAGAGATACATTACGATTCTATTTAGAACCTTCTATTTATTTCATTGGCATCAACTGTAATTTAGCTTATGACATGATACCTTTGTTGGGTTTCTGTTATTGAATTTATTTCAATTTTTTTAAAAAATATATATTATATTTTGTTGGTTATTTGGGGATTGAAATTCTATAATCTGAGTTTATGTATATTCATCTACACCTGGAAGAAAAATTTTAAACTCCGTTAATGTCAGTTTTTACATTTCTTCTCAAAATAATTTCATTCATTAGGAAAGGCTTATTTTTTAAAACATTTAGCAGAAAAAGAACCAATGGCTCAAAGGAGTGAAATACCATAATCTAGGTAATATTTGGGTGTTACTGGCAGAGCCGTGCCCAGAGCTCCTAATTTCATAGTGTATTTTGTTTAGACTATGAGGTTTCTTACTACTTTTATTGATCATCCTTGATACACATTTTAAAAAAACTTTTTGAGGAAAGGCAATACTGTCTTCCATGGTGACCTACAGTGAACAAGTCTCTATTTCTCTACATCCTTGACAACATTTCCTATTTTCTTTTTGTCGTTTACTTTTGTTTTGATTATTATCTTCCTAATGGGTGGGAAGTTTTATGAATCTTCAGTCTGATTTATTACTTTTTTTATTGTGTTTATTGTACCTGTGGTCTGAGCTTCCTTTAGCTTAGACCAAATGGGTTGCCGTGTAGTTTGTGGGTCTTTTAATATATAATTTTTGTCTTATAGCAAGAATTTTTTTTTCAGGGTACAAATGATTAGGCTACATTGTTTTTTAAGTAGAGTCCAAGTTGTAGTTGTGTCCCTCACCCAGGAGGTGTGCCATGTACCCGTCCATTGTCCCTGTTAATTGAAAGGACACCATTCCCACTCCTCCTCTCCCTTCTCCCCCACTTGAGTTTAATTGTATTTTTTCTTGTGTGGGTCTGTAGTTATTTGTCTTCTGGTTTCATATTAGAATTGAGTATGTCGGATATTTGCCTTTCCATTCATGTGATACTTTACTGAGTGGAATGTTCTTCAGCTCCATCTAGGTTAATACAAAATATTAACACAAAATAAAAGTCTCCATCTTTTTTAATCCCTGAATAGTATTCCATGGCATACTTAATCCACAGCTATATAATCTAGAATCTATTCATGTGTTGATGGGAACTTGGGCTGGTTCCACATCTTGGCAATTGTGAATTGAGCTGCAATAAACATTATAATGCATAAGTCCCTATGGCAAAATGATTTTTTTTTCTTCTGATAGATGCCCAGTAATGTGACTGCAGGATCAAATGAAAGGTCTACCTTTAGTTCTTTATGGATTCTCCAAACTTCTTTCCAAAGAGACTGTATTAGATTGTAATCCCACCAACAGTGTAAAAGTGTTATGTTTTCTCCATACCCTCACCAGCATCAGAAGCTTTGGGACTTTGTGATGTGGGCTGTTTTCTGGGGGTAGGCTAAATCCACATTGGTACAGTGAATCCAGAGTAGTCTCACGTGAAACATGAACTGTGTTTCTTATTATTTATTACTTTAGTCCTATATGATAATGATGGGGCTAATGTGAATTTATTAGACTCTGATATCAACAAATTAATATAGGGCCTAAAGAGTATATTGAAATTTTTGAGAAATAATAATCTAACCTTCTGTTAGCATTAGAAATATAAGAAATTTAAGATATAATTTTTTTCTTTTTTTTTCCCCAGGAAATACGAAAGACATCATAATGATATATGAAGAAGATGCTGAGGAATGGGCTCTGTACTTGAAGGAAATTTTTTTACGTGTTGTGAGAAGGGAAGCGATCCTGTTATATTGCTTAGAGAATTTCTCTCTTTGGCATCTGGAATTGCTGGACTTAACCTCCTACAAATGTAAACTTCTGATATTATCAAATAGCCTGCTTAAAGACCTAACTCCAAAAAAATGTCAGTTTCTGGAAAAGATACTTCATTCACCAGAAAGTGTAGTTACTATGCTTTGTGGAGTGGACAGTTCAGATCAACTCTATAAATTATTAAATATCTCTGGAAGCAAATGGGAAATCTCAACGGAGCAGGAGCCGGAAGACTACATCTCTGTAATCCAGAGTATCATATTCAGAGGTAGTGTTGCCAAATCTTCTTTATTTATTTTTATTGTCTTATGTTGCAATGTAAGAGTTGAAGGTTTTTTAAAACAATTAATATCTAATGTTAGGATTAAAAAGAAGAAAACTGATATACAATTTTATTTAACAGTATGTTGTACTTTCCTTGAAATGCAGTAAGGTTCTTAATTTTTAGATTATTCCATGAAAGCTCATCAGTTGGTTTAAATCTAGTTCATAAATATATTTGTTAAGTAATTTGGATGAGACCCTGGTGGAACAAGTATGGTATGTCAGGCCGTGTGCCAGTTTGGTTCTGGGAGCTGGTTTCTTTAATTACTAAGATTTAAGTAGCAGTTCAAAGTTTGAATATCTGCGTTAAAATCCAGAGCTTCTGTTGTGCTGATAATTGTGTGGCATCTACTGGTAGAACAAACTGTTATTTTTATTCATTTTAAATGGGTAATTTAATTTTAAGCATATAATGTTTATATAAAAGAATGGAATACAATGTCCTATTTATTAATTAACTACATGTCCATGAAATGTTTAAAACTCTGAAGCCAACTGATGTTAAAGCTTCTCCCTCCCACGGTCTGTTTTGCTTGGTATGAAAGGGCTGCTGCGGTCAGCTACTTCCCTGGTTTCCCTAACCTGCACTTTGCCTTCAACTCCCAGTCTTCCAGCTGTGGTTTCATTCCTGTAGTGAAGAGGTGGGAGGTTCTGGGTCAGGGTATGTCATGAGAATGTAGTCAAGCCGTCCAGAGCTACAATCATCTGTGAGCGTCACTGGGCAGGATCTGCTACTAATACAGCTCACATGATTGGCAATTTCTGCATTTTGTGTTATCATAGTTTCAATAATCTCTTGGTTGGCTAAAGATCACTTCTAATCGATTCCTGAGAAAGGAATCCCTTGGAAGCAATGTTTCTGAATTCCTGCATTTTCAAAAGTGTCTGTCCCTTGCCTCAGAGTTTACTGTTGTTTGTCCTTCTTCTGGCATTGTAGGATTTAGAGAATTTGTATCTGCCTGGATGAATAAAGGGTTCATAACTTACAGTTGAAGTCTACTGACTCTGGAAGAATGTCGTTTTAGTGCCGAGTGTTCTGGATTATTTTACCCAGGGACATACTTTTTGGATTAAAAAAAAAATCCTTTTTCCAAAATGTAGATTCAAATTGTCTTTTATTTAAGGAACAACTTCTTAATTTTTGCCTATTTGCTCTGTCTTATTATTATGGTTATATTTTTCCTCGATTCCTTTTACATGTATTTTGAATGTATTTTGTCTGTGATACACTCTATGATTTTACTTTAATCATTTTAAATCTTTCTTTATATCTGACTCCCTTAGTTTGCATTTTCACTTCAATCTTTGCTACCTTCTTATGCTTTCAGTAGTCTCCCCTTCTCTATAGTATTTCCATTTTCTCTTTCTTATTACTTCTTTTCATTATACCATTTGATTGAGCCCTTGAAGCTTGTAATCCATCTCTTGTTATTTTGTTTATCTCTCCCTGAGCCCTTGCATTTCTGCACCATACAATTCCTTCCAAAAGGTGATTGCTGGACATTACAATGTTTGGTCAAAAATATTCAACTTGGTTTATGGTCCTCATATGCCCTCCTCTTTTTCTTCTTCCCTCTGCCTTCTCTCTCTCTCTCTCTCTCCTACTCTCACTCTCACTCTCTCTCTCTCATTCTCTCACTCTCATAGTATCTTTATATGATCCTCTGCTGATTCAAATTTTCTTCTATTTCACTAACAATGTGAAGTGTCTTTGTTTTTGTTTTGAGACTGAGTCTCCCTTTGTCACCCTGCATAGAGTGTTGTGACATCATAACTCACAGCAACGTCAAACTCCTGGGATTAAGAGATTCTCTTGCCTCATCCTTCCAGGTAGCTGGGATCACAGGTGCTTGCCAAAACACCCAGCTGTTTTTAGAGACATGGGGTCTGGCTCTTGCTTGAGCTGGTCTCAAACTCCTGAGTTAAGGCAGCCCACCTGCCTCAGCCTCCCAGAGTGTTGGGATTACAGGCATGAGCCACTGCACTGGGCCTGAAGTGTATGTTTTGTTTTTGGTTTTATTTTGCTATTATTGTTTCAGTGAAATACTTGACTTCTCTGCTTCCACAGATGCAAACTGCTTTGTTATTGAGTTTTCTTGTTAGTGCTTTTCATTATGTGTCACTAAGAAAGTTTTAAGATATACAAAAATCAAGAAACATAAAATCCATGTGGATGGAAGCAAATGGAGCCCTCTCAGCAACACTGATCAGTTCAGCAAATTGAAACTTACATGGGTGAATCAGATAGGATGCATCTACTATGTTTCCTGGATGTGAAATAATGGACCACATTGCAGTCTGTCTCAAAACTTTAGGGATCCACACATGTCTTTTCTCCCTAGTTTCTCATTTAGTCTTACTTTTTTCTACTTTTGGAACCTAACTGCTTCCACAGATTCTTCTTTCTCAAACTTTTACATCATGTCTGTAATTCAAACAAGGCATGCACTCCTAGCCTTAGAAGGTGTATTTCTTAGCTCTTTTTAAAATATGCACCTTCTGGATTATTTCTTTATCTTTTTTTCTGTTTTCTTCTGCACACCTGTCTGCTCAGTCATCAGTATCTTAGGAACAATTCCATTGATTGTGGGGTCTAGGATTTCAATGTTTCATATTTTCATTAAATTATTTGCATGATTATTTCTCATTGTCTAAGTGTTGGGGTGATCTCCAAAAATAAAAAGGGGAAATAATGACTATACACCACAATTCTCAAACTGGAAGTTTTCAAGTTCCTTATGATTTCTCTCTTTTGTTTGTTTTCATTGTTTTTTTTTTTTTTTAAGATTCCTCAATTACCTTTACATTAAGCCTTTTATGGTTGAAAAGAAAAAATGTTGCAATTGGAAAATTATAAAAAAAAAAATCACCATAATGTGCATAGAAAGTTCATGTAATTGTGCACTACTGTTTCTCCCCTGAGACAGAGGAGCCTTGAAGATTGTTGACAGCATTTTTAGATAGTCCCTCACTCCCATGATTTCTGTTTCCTTGGAAAACTCATGTTGTTTTGGCCACTGAAAAAGTGACGCCATTATTATGTAAAAATATTGAAGAAATGTCTTTTTGTTATTTTAGTTGTTTTGTTCTCTGATGAGTACCTTTGAGTAAATATGGAAGTAGTAATCTGCTTATCTTCAAATTATATTTCTATTTGTATTTGGCAGGAGAAAAGCTTATATGTTATAGACAACACAGCACTGTTCTGAAGACACTATAGTTTTTGTCTTCCCACACTCAAATTTTGGATTCTAATTTTTTAGAATAACTTAGGTATATCAAATGGAAAACATAACCATCTTGTTTGGAAAAGGGTGTTCAAATGTGGTATATTTGTCTAAGTTATAAGAATGCAACCAGAATGTAGATGTGTAAGCAATTTCCAAGCCATACATAAAACAACTTTTATATATGGGTTGTGCCCATATATAAAATTGACAAAATTAACATGAATTGCTATAGTATATCCAATAAATTTGGTTTAATAAGCAGCTTAATTGGTCTGCTGAATTATTTTAACTTTCATGTTGTCATTCATGTTCAACATATAAACTCTAGCTTTTTAAAATTAAGATTAGTGTAAAAATAGGTGAAATAAAGCAAAGGATGTGGAACTCAATCTCTCTCATTTTCTCCATTTCTCACATCCCACAAGAAATTGTTTAAAATAAAAAATTGTGTAATATAAACAGTAACAGAAACATGCCATGATGAACTGAATAATAAAAATGCCAGGAAAGTGATGACAACGATTAAATGCTCAAATACATGCACATAACACTGAGAAAAATCAGAGGAATTTTAAAAACCCTTGATGAAAGAGAAAAAGATTTTTTGATTAATCAAAGCTCCAGAGAAAATGTTTAAGGAAAGATGCAGTAATTCATATTTATCTAAGGATTTTATTTCATTTTAAGGAATTAAGAAAATAAAATTTCCCATCTCCTTAATTCTCAAATTGAGAATAATGAACATTTAGACGTGTTACCAGCTTTCTGTGTCTTTATAACCATTTTGATGATGGTCCTTCCTTTTTCTGTCTTCTACTTCTCTATTTTTGGGTTTTTACCTAATTTTTTCTTCTAGTCCTTCCACATTTGTAGGTTTCATGCAGCATTGTTTATATAATGAATTACACAAATATATAAAGCATTATTATATGTGTAGTTATTCTAATCTCAAATTTACATAAAATCAACTAACGTTTTGAAATACCAGCATCGTATATTACTCTAGTCCTCTCTTTGCAAAAACAGATGTTTACCAGGATCTGTGAATGTGGCATTTCTCCTGGGCCTTGCCTTCTCTTGCTTTTTGTTCTTGACTCTGCCATGTTTTGCCTCCAGACCAGTCACTCTAGTTTGTTCTCGACACCTGTCTACCATTCACCTACATCTCTCCCCATGGTTGACATTCTTATATTTTCATCATTATCAAATGATAAGAAAAACTGCTCATTTTTTCATGAGGAACCTTAACATTTCAATTTTGCTCTCATATTACCAAAACAAGGATTTCAAATTTTTAGCTGTATTAAAACTAAAAGCAGCAGCCCAAAATGAAGAGTGGCCAAGTTAACAATAGAGTTATTTGAAAAACAAAGCAAAACCAACACCACCACAAATAACACAGCAGAAACAATCAGTGCAGAAGTCCTGTTGCCTTCCCTCCTGTGTGAGAGCTGTGTTTCTGTACCTGCTCTGGTTCCCTAGGCCTGCTCAGAACCATAAGGCTTGTCCAGTGAAGTCAAAGTCTTTCTGCATGGCTTTGAAGGACTGGCTCCAGCACAGTTGTCCAGACCGTTGTCATAGTTTCAGCGTATGCAGTATGCTGCAGACAAGGGTGACTGCATGGTTCCCATTGAAGAAACACAGCCATCGTGTTTCTGCCCTCACACCACTGTTCTCCTTCTCTCTCTCCTGGAAGTCTCCTTCCACATATTTT